TTAAGACTATTCAACGAAACAATAAAAAAATAACCAACAACTAAAAAAAAACCTCACTGGAATCACTTGTTCTCATAAACAAGTAAATGGAAACAAAATCAGTGAAACAAATTGACTGATAAATGACACTTCTGATAGGAAAAACAAGACAATAAATAACGAGAATTCTGGATGCACTGAAAAAGAAAAATGACAAGTTCGAATAGTTATGGGGATGAAATTTTTGGGAATTCGTCTCAACGGTTTCAAGATATTCAGATCGAAGAATGTCTTTTGAGTTTCAGAAACTTGCAATGGACCTTCAGAAATATACAAACAAACTTCACTGTAAAAACAGCGTAAATACCTATCACACTGTAAATATATATAAAAACGATGTTCGATCCACTAGACTCGCAACTCTTTCACCAATCCTTCCTTATCTAGAAGTCCATCCTCAACGTTTAACTATGCAAATGTAAAATGCATTCATTCCCAACCCCCTCTCTAAGAAAACGATGAAATGACGCAAAAAATAAAAATAATGTCATCAAGCTGGAAATGATACGAGATTAAGATTCATTCAGTTTGCTGTACACATGAAATCAATACAGAAGATGACAAATGCAATAGAAATTTCAATTAGTTTCATCAGTCATTCGGTACAGACTTAAGATATGCATCATGACGTCTATGCTCGTCCAAAGCACGGTCCGTATCCGGATCGTGCGGCAGCTCACTCCTTCGACGAACCGACTCTGCCACACCACGAATGTCGTCGCCAACCTACAATCAAGGACAGATTCATGTTAGGATAAAATAATCAGAAAAGTGATAAGTGACAACAGCACTGATAACGATAAGGAAAGCACTGATAGAAAACACTCACAACACGTACACTAGCACAATTTGTAGCGTTTTGTTTAATATCATTCGGATCCAGTGGGCCGGGATCGGGCTCTTGGTCGTCAACTGGTAAAGAAATTATCGGTTCGCTCACCGTATTCTGCAGCACTGCTTGTACTGCTTCATACTGAAATGCTCTTAACTTTTATTTAGCGTGATCAGTCTAATGTGCAATTCCACAGCAATAACAAGTTATTCGATCAAACTACAAATTATATTCATAACTTTTATGCTCTTTTTGAAGCATTCCAAGGAGAATGATAAAAGAGAATGAATAAAACACTCTGCTATCTATCTACTTGTGACAGAGGAATGAGCAAATGCCAAATGACTCATTCTAGTTTCATTGATGCATTTCGATAACCACAAAAAGAACAACCAAATTATTTGTGCACATCAAAAACGCACTAATTTAAAGAGCAACTGCACCCACCTCAGGATTCTGCCGTGCTTTCCGTTCGATCATCTCCCACGTGGCCACTTTCTCCTTCAATCGAGCACTCTCCGCCTCACGTTCACGATTGAAATTTTGTGAGCATTCATCGAACAGTCGCTGATTGATCTCCATGAACAACTTCAGCGCATTATAGATAAGTCCATGAATGGTTCTAAACAAACTCGTACACAATAGAAAGACGCTAAATCAATGACATTCTCCATGAAATTTTTGCTTGAGTACAGTCATTATCATTTGCTTTTTCCTTCAACAAATAAATGAGTAACTGATTATTCAAGATACGATACCAAGTAGCTGTTAATTGTGCGGACTGCGTCATTACTACGGATATGAAAGTTTCGATGTCAGATAGACAGACGGACGCTCGAATAGACAGACAGACTATCTCCGAGCACAAATCATTCTCTTAAACAATTCAGCGCTTCATCAAACATACAAAATCTTCACTCTATCGACGCACACGTGATTGTAAAATAGAAAATGGTAAACAGAATGAAAAATGAATGTGAAAATGAAAGAATCAAAAATGTTCAACTAACTTATTCCAGTGGTTTTTAGAATTTTTATAAAGAGCTGGAAACATAATCGGCAGAATGACGGCTGCATTATCGCTTATCAAAGACATTATGTACTCGTTATTCCAATAATACAACGCTCTTTCAGCCACCTTCAAATGAAATTAAATTCGAAAAAAGTGTTCATCCGACTAAACGACCCCCGTTTTCTATTTCGAATTGCTTCTCGCGTCATTTAGAACATGTCGAATTTGCATCATTACTTAATTTCTACTATAAATCTGAGTAGAGGTCCAATAGAGAGACCTGGAAGTGCGGTGAAGAGACACATTTGGCCAACTGATGGAAGAGCGGTACCATGACCTTTTGAAATTCAGCAGGCTCGATTACATCGAGAACCTCCTCTAATTCGTTTAAAAACATCACCTGCACAAACAAAAGCATTACACTTCATTTGTTCATCATACAAAATGAAAATCTCAAAAGTCAAACCCAAATCGAACAAAACAATCTACTCACCTCTTTTGGACTATGCACTTTCGGCCAAAATTTCAGCAATGAATTAATAACCGGTTCTGTTAAGGTTGGATCTTTTTCGAGGAACTGCACGACACAATACGCCAATTGTGGATGATACACAGAAAGTGATTTCACCTTAATCGATTACTTCACAATTCAGAAAGCGCTCCATTAACAAGTATCCATTAGAAGAGTGAACGATTGATGGTGAATTTACCTTGTGAAGAGGTAACAGAACCCTCAGCAGAAATGTTTTATGTTCCTCTTTCAGTGGCAATGCAAATCCGTTTATAATACTACCAAGAATCTCTAAAAGTTCTGCAATGCCATTGTGTCGTTCAGTTTCGTATATGAACGAATAGAAGATGTTGTTGATTTGCTTGCGCATGTAAGCACGCAGTCCTAAGAATTTTCCGTAAATTCGATGCAGAGTTGTCTTCAAGAAATCACGTTCTCGAGGATCTTCGCTATCCGATAATTCAATCAACTGAAAAAGAAAATAATCTACTTCGACGAAACATTATCATTTTCTGAAACCATCAATCGAAAAACACTCCACAGAAATAGACAAATGCCAATCAACTATCCATTTCCAACAATCGTAAATTCTGATGATCGCATCCGATTCCCGTCTCTAACCAAATAAAATGCTTCACACAACCATCCAATAATCTATCCATCGTATAAACAAGAAACGATAAAAACTATCCATAAGAACATCACTAACTTTCAGAACGAATCTTTGATCGATATATTTCTTGGCAATGTTCGCTTGAAACTCAGACGATTCAAGAAAACGAAGAAAGAACTCATAGACTAACTGAAATAAATTAGTATTTCAAATGAGGTGAAATGAACGTAAGTCAATGACATTGTACTATCCAAAATGACAAGAACAACTCAGTGGTATTCACCTGCAAATGTGGCCAAGCTGCCTCTAAAGTGGGCTCGTCTTCATCAGGGTCGAATTCAGCACCGATGGGATTCGATGGTGGCGATAAAACTCGAAACAGATTGGCTGATAACTGGAACAATAATCATATTGTTATCAAATACTGGTCGAAATTACACATAGATATGAGTTAATTTCATTTATGTTCACATAATGAATACCATGTTCAATATGTATATTGTACGCCTACTAATTATTCGATAATTTGTCGATGATGCAACAATCCACCTCACATAAATCCAACCAATCAAAATTATATTATCGCAATATTTGCAAGTTATCATCGTCTCAAATAGTACATCCCAAATACTCAAATACTTCCCAACAAACATGAACGAATCGTCTTCAATTGCATTTCGAAGCAGAAAAGAATGAGAGATATCCGACTTCAATTCTCGAAAGCGTTACTAACCATAGCAGCAACCTCGGGATAAATCGCTTCAGTGATTGCGTCCTGACATGACAGCACATAATCTGTCAACTCATTCAACGTTGTTCGCTTCACCTAAAAAAGTTATTTCTAAGTCACAAAAATATCCGCTTCACTCTCCCACTACATCACAGAAGCAAAATGGCCATGCGACAAAACAGAGTTGATCAGCGAAATCAGAGATTTGAGCTGACATTATCGTTTTTTTTTGGAATGACAAAATCAGGCTATGAATCCGATACGCTAGGTGATATGAAGTGTACCAAGAACAGCACTTATCATTAACGTTTCGGATAATGAAGGCCAAACAATCAATGACCACGAAAGGATCAAGGCCAAAGTAAATGCCGAGAACGATAAATATTATAGTCCAGAATACCAAAATGTGTTGAACACTTGTCGAGGCCCAATAAAAAACCAATAGAATAAGAATGCGAATTACTTCTTTGTATTTGAGATCAGATAGTGGATCAGTGGCAAAATCGAATACAACACAACATTGGCGTAACTTCTGAATGAATAGATCTTCTCGCGCCGCCGGTTCAGCATCTATATAAACAATTTGATTCATTTGTACGAATGCAATTTACGTGCATGAAATAAATAATCGAAAGTTTTGCAGAATGCACTAAAAGTATGCATTCAACCATTCAGATCAACGAATCAATCTGTTCTCCATTCCGATCAAGTAGGAAAATTCGAACCATATAAATAATTGTCCAGTGGAAAATTAATTTATAGTATCAACCTGTGAAACGTAATGCGTGGATATAATAGGCGAATCACACATTTTCATTAACATACATTTCGATAAACATTCCCTGTACATTTCTATAGATCTTCTTTCATACGGTTTTCAATTTTCAAAAAAAATTGCTCTCAATTTTTCTGCGAGAAAATTCTCCACAACATTTTCTTAATGTTGTATAATTGTCACCTTTGATATTCGGTAGTTTGACCAGCTCCCGATTTGCCGAAATCAGAAACTGCGAACTACTCTGCCGTCGATCGCGACGTGGAACTGCCGGACCAGCGGCGAGAGATGGCTGAAGCAATTTAAGAACTTGTTTAAACCGAATGAGCAAACATTATCGAAAATCGAGATGAATGCTTCTCATTTGCATAACTCATAATCTACTTCATGAATATTCAATTTTGATTTCAAAAAAGGCACGAAAATTTCACGAAATGCAAAATGAAATTATAACGTTTGGCAAAAATTATAAGTAACAAAACGTTTGGCAGGAACGAAAACCTTTTTGAGTGCAGTGGGTGGAGGAGCGTCCGGTGGAATGGTGTCGTCGACAGCCACAGCATCCTCGGTCCTTATCAGTGGTACAGTTGCAGTACAGTTGTCATTTGTCGATGTTGTATCACCGTTAGTTACCGGGGTTAGTATGGTGTCCTCTTTTCTCGTGGTGTCCTTCTCTTTTTCCTTAGCCTCTTTTTTCTTATCCTCTTTCTCACTCTGAATAATTTCCCATTTCAATTAAATTTTGAAACACATTAAATCGAAAATTAACGAAATTCGATCTGGATCAATAATTCTTTCTGGCTCATAAATAATGAAATCAGCAGTGATCACTCTATTCGCAACTGCTTTCCTGTTCAACGAGAAGTAATCTTTATTTCGACAGTAGAAAAAGCATTTAAAAAGTTTCATTAATTATCCCAGATTCACAAAGAGACAATTTTCGGTAGTGGAATAGTTTCAGAATCGGATCTTCAAAAGCAGAGAATATTTTTCGCGATGAGTTAGCGATAAATAGAAGGGAATGGCACAATACCTTGGTGTCCTTGTCCTTCTTCTTCGACTTGAGCATATTGCTCGTTAGCAACCTCCGTTCCCGAAATGTAGATGAAGCACCCGCGAGCAGTTTGAAATACTTTGAGGGTTTTAAGTAACACCAACAATAAAATACAACAGTTAGTCAAACTCTGCAAGCACATTCTATCAGCAGTCATTCATAAAAGAGACACATTTCGTCATTATTCGCACGTTATACTCGATCAGTGTATCTGATAAGAGGCTGTGAAAAAACAATAGTTTGTGATAAGGACAAAAAACTAATGCTAATAGTGAACTGCGATAACGCAGAACGCAAAAACATTACGGTCCTGGAAAACACGAGCAGCAAAATTTTGCAATGAACCGAATCGACTGACCCATTCGCATTGCAATGACGCAGTGAGGTATTCATTTCAAAATAAGTACAACTCAGGGAACAAGAAAATTTACAAATGTTATCAATTACATAATATCGGATATAGATAATATCGAATTGTGCTGTGCGACAAATGTTGCTGATGAAAATAATACAACAATGCACTTGAAATGAACAGTTTACAGTACAACGAAGTTTTTGAGCGATCACGCAACTAACATTTCTGCACAGAACATTCGCCCCGCGTCATCAAAAGATGGTGATATTTTGAGTGATTCTAAAGCAAATATGCACGGACGAATCAAACATTGGTCAAAAATGTTCAAAAAAGAGTCATGAAAATCGATGAGGGCTGTTGCCTTGATGCCTTTATTGGTATGAGACGATGTTCTCTCTCAATCTCGACATTGATAAGTACCTAGTCTGAACGTCAGGGAATAATCATCATCTACAGCAGTCGAACACAAACAAAACACAAACAGCAAACATAAGATTTTAACCTGCTCTCCAAAGAAATCATCGTTTTCCTCTAAAGGTATACTAGGAGATCAAAGAACAACGCGCGGAAGAGTCGCCAAAGCCAAGTTTCGTAGAGATGACGCAGCTGCGTTCGTTCGACGGATTGTTGCTGACGAGCACAAACAAGTGTTCTATATTGCTAGGATTGAGTAGTGCATCGATGTTAAAGCAATCTTTAAAATGCATCTGCGAGCTTTGCATCGAAATGCAAAAATATTGCACGAGATAGATATGTGCAGTACGAAATAAAATGATGACAATGACTGCCAACAGAANNNAATTGGTGAATATGTTTGCAGATAAATAATTGTGAGCAGACACTTACACAAAGCAAAAATAAAACTCAAAATACTTGATGGCGGGGAGTCGACTAGTGTTATCGCACAGCTGAATAAGTCAGCGACGATGCGATTGATTTTAATTGCTTGCTGATTTAACTAATTATGCTACAATTTTGAAAGTACGTCAATTGCTGTGAGGACAATCAATAGCTAGTGATCAGTTGACGGAATTGAATTGAACGTTAGATTCGTTCGTAATCGATGAGGGAAATTTGATGTGGAACATAGAAGCGATGAGTACAATTCGGTGAAGAGGTAGCACGTTACCCTCGACAACTGCTTTGCATTACAACGATCGTTTATTTATTTATAGTGTCATCCAACCACTAATCAACGGCGTCTTATTATCACCTTCAGCAAGCCTCTCGGAATGTTTCACGCTCGCTCATAAAAAATACCTCATTTTCATCATTTAGAGTTGATCTCCAAATGGACCGTTGATCGCTTTTTATGGTTAACTTGCAACTTGCTGTCACAAAGGGATAATCTGTGGGATGGAGTAGGTGAAAGGGCGAATAAATTCGATGCTGAGGTTGATTTTGTCAAACGAATTTGATTTAGCATTCGAACTGAGCAACTCGGATGCACGTTCGTACGAACCAGTTCAAGAATNGGAATTCCAGAACAGGGTGCTCGAGGAGTGAATATATTATCGAAGACGCACGATTGAAACAGCACCAAACCAATCATAATCAGTTGCAGAATAGTTCAGTAAAAGCCTGCGTAAAACGATCTCAAGAACGTAAAAGAATGAACTATTACAGTTGTCTAAAGAGTGCGTCACAGGTCAGTTCCAATAAAAATTTGGTATCATCGTGAAGTTGATTGGCATAAGGCGTTAGTTGAGGTGTTGGCATGCAACGAATTTTGAACTGATCAAATGATTACGTAAAAACGTTTATCATTTTGCTGCACAGGTGCTTTTTGCATTAATTTGCTTGGCAGTCTTCCTAACACTTTAAAAAATTCTATGAATCTCCACATTAAAAACTCATAAGAAAGCAGGTATTTGGTGGATGTGAAGTGAAAATGTATCGAATAGTAAAATATAATCGGTTGAATTGGCTGATGTATTGATTTTGAATTTTTATGTTGTTACCAGTAGCTTTTATTTATTCATTTCAGGTTTTTAGTGTTTTCTCAAACATCTATCGCAGCAGCGATCATACGCTTTGAGTGATGCACACACAACACAAGCCTAACAGACCAGAGGTGGCAGTAGCGCGATACTTCGCTACTTCACTATTAGCGAAATACCGAACGCACTCTCGAAGTAGCTGTTTCGCTGTAGCGGAGTATCGCAGAGCTATTTCGCAAGTAGGGAAGTGGCCACTATTGCCCACCTCTGGTTTATTCTCAGAATGAATGCCATTCTCAAACTGAGTGTAACAACATTCATATATAAAGAACTGAAGGCAACATCATTCGATAAGAAATTATAATAATGATCGCAATTCAAATGAATATGAGACACATTCATCGATTCGTTTGCAACGGGATAATCGCTATTGAAATCAACTATAGCATATTATCAATGCCCTCTGCATGTTTTTTGTATAATACGAGTATTACGAGCGATGATCAAAAACTATTACATTGAAACGTATAAGTATGCCTTTAGTGAAACGAATTTTAAAATGTGCAAACGTTGGAAAGTGGGTGCAATTTATCTCGTAACTCGCTAACGATAAGCAATGAGAATATCTGCCTTTTTACAAACTCACTGACATTATCGACATTCCTTTCATCTTGCATCAAGATGACGACTACAACAGTTGTAGCACATAACGAGCATTAAATTGCAATTTTGTTGGTCATTCAGTATGAACATCGTTCTTAGTATAAGGAAACCCAGCAATGTGAGAAAAATAAACAAATAACTCTAATAGAGCGGAGATCGCTAAATGCGTTCAAATCAACTGTGTTATTTTATTGGTAATAGACTAATAATGATGGAAATATGAATAACAGTAACATACCGCTGACAGTGATAAGGGCAATGATGGAACGACAACAGCACGAATACGGTTCGTAAAATAACGCGACGTGCTACCAAATAATACTCAATTTTAAATTTTCATTATCACTATGCCTCTTGAAAAACGTGATGTAAGGATTGTAAAAACTTCATCAAACAAGTATTGTATCGCAAAATCACTATTGCAATAACAATAAATAACAATAAATAGCAATAAATAACAATAAATAACAA